ATTTATACAGGTTGCTGTTATAAAAATAATAAAGACTGAAGTCAAACAAATCAGAAGTCTCGAGTTATTGGTTAACAGAAAAGGTTTGTTCGGATTTAAAAAGAAAAATAGAAGAAAAAAAAAGTGGTTCACTTGTAAGAATTTCAACTATTTACGCAGATTGTAATAATAACAGAGATTGGAGTCAAATACATCAAAAGTATCCAGCTATTGATTAACGTAAAACATGCCTGTACAAATTAAGACTCATGCGGCCAACAAAACAACTCAATGTGACCCGCAAGGGATTTTCAAAATAGTAAATTTGTGTTCATCAAAATAAATTTGGCGACTGGCCCGTTTTGTGGTAGCATGGATTTATTCGGCGTTGTCTTTGTATCTAACTAACCACTTTCATTCTCCGTAGAAAAAAAAATTCTCGCCCTTCTTCTCTATATATTTGTTTATATCGAACACATATTGAAAATTCTATTTATTGGTTTCATCCAGACCAGAGTCGAATCCTGTTCAGTTTTGCAAAACTGTAACGATCTAAAGAAGTGGCGTAAGAAAAGATTGATTCGTGCCATTCTCAAAGGTATAGTGTAAAGTGGGCGCAGCACTATCGGTCGGAATTTAAATTCAGTTCCCCAATTCCAAATTCAGTCATGCGCAAATATCCATTTCCTTGCCCCAGTTACGGGTTAAATAATAGGACGTATATCTAGAAAAATCATTATTATCTCAAAAATGTTATTAATGCAATATTCACTCGCAAAATATTCTTAAAATCCAAAATATGTTTCAGCTTTAAATAACCTACAAAGGGTGATAAACCGTAAAGAACCAATCAATCAATTGCCAGTTTCATTCTCTGCGTCGATAAAATTTATTCTATGGAACATCTTGAATAAAGTCGGTTCAAAATAAAAGCTTCTAATGGCAGACAAAGAATGACATTTTTTAAAAGAGTTCAGAAGCGTTTATACGCCAGCGTGGGTGAAGAATTATTTCCGGCCTACAACCCCTTTCTCAAAAACGAAATGTTGGTAGCCTCTCCCTACTCTATCACTATTTTCGTAGTAGATGACCTGGTGAGACACACGCCTTAGTTCCACCAGTCCATACCGTCACAGCTAGGATCCGCCATGGTACGTACACATTGCTAAGGAGGCAGCTTCTTCCCCAGAGCTTTTGCATTGTTGAACACACCCGAAAGGACGCTTCCCCAATCATTACAATCGTAATCTCTTCAAGTCTAAGGTTATCTACCCTACATACCCTCATAATATGCACATCTTGTACCTTCCTTGTACGCACCTACAACAACCTCATTCACTAACACTTTACTTTGAGTGGCTCTTGGGCCTTATATTGGGTGAACAATAGTTTAAAAATATTGTTACAGTGATAAATTTAATTACTATTAAGACTATTAATATAGACATACGATCCCTATCGTATGCTGATACACCATAAAATGGTCAATCAACGAGCGATATTCTGTTTAGTTTTTAAGTATAGATGACGATTCGAGTATTTCAAAGGCTAAATTGAAGAAGAAATCAAAATCACAAAAATGATACTTATTTCAAATCAAATATCCTACTATAGCCATAATAACTTTTGTGTTGTTACAAATATATATTTCAAATCATCCGGCTCATATTAACCCAATGTAAAAAAAATCGGCATGTACTGCTTTTGAGTTTCATTATTACGCGCCCAATATCCAAAACTCGACATACTGATCTTAGAATTGAGCCCTGGATGTAGAGTTGTGTAATCGCCTGTTTGTTCATAGCAAATAAATATTGATTGATGAATCAATGAAATGTATAGGGATAGGACAAAATACTTTTATTCTCTTGTTGGATATCGGAATTGAAACATGTGATGCTAACACCAGCAAACTTCACATTAAGTAGTTGTATTGTTTTTCATCATTTCCATCACAAAGGTAAGTAATCTTGCCATTAAAAATTCGTACTTTTCTAGCAAGATCTCAGAAACTATAAAGACTTGGATTGTGAAATTTTGCTGAAGGAAAAATGGTGTCGCTACTTGTGTGCAAAATAAATCCTATTATAGCTGTAGTAACTTCTGCATTCTTAAAAACATATATTTTTTAAGAAATTGGTTGTGAAAAGGAGTAAAAGTAAGAATGTTATTCATTTGCTTACTATTACGTCCGCACGTCCCTTATATCAGAAGCAGTCACAACACCTGCAGATGGTCAGCCGGTAACAGGACGCTGTATCACCTCATTCAGGGGTAAAGTTATGCAATATTTAAATACAGTTCAATTGAATAACGTCTTCCAAAACAAGAATGTAGATGATATATGCTAACATTCATGTGCGTGTGAATTTTAAAAATTTTTTACACACGTAATCACACGCACTAGAATACATACATTAGCATATGTTTTTTTTTTACCTTACTTGATTTTGGAAGACGTGTGTCATTCAATTGAACTGTATTTAAATATTGCATAACTTTAAACAAAAGACTTGATTCCATTAATTTTCATAATATTGGGTAGACTCATTGAATAGATTACCTTCAAACTTTTGGTATTGAATCAATATTTTTCTTGCAGTATTTAACTATTTTTATTTTAATCATTTCACCCCAAACAAAGAAATAAAGCCACTAAGACGGAGTGTCAGAGAATAGGAGAATAAAATACACTGTTATGGAGAGAGAACAATAAAAAAAAAACAGAAATTAAGAAAACAGAAGATAACGATTGACATTGCATTTAATTTTTTGAAGATCAAAGTTGACTGGGAAGCAAGAAGCCGAAAGCGAGAACTGCGAGAGAAGAAACAATTATTGTAGAACTTACGGTTACATCTAGCCATTTCAACTATAAAATGATGAAACCTTGTCGTACTGCACTTCATTTCGTAAAGTTTAGGTACCATAGAGGAAACTTTGTCTCTCTTTTTATATGCCTTTTGCATTCATTTGAGAGTTTGCATGATTTCATCATTATTTTGTTGTTATTTCATCATTTTACTAACATTGGTTTGTTGTATGACTCTTTTGTGAATCATATTGTTTCAGAAACTTAATCAAACTTCACCAACATAAGTTTCAATCTTTAGAGGTTTGTACTTTGTTGGCTCACTTTACTGCCAAGGATTATCTCTGTCTCTCAGAAAATTGTGTTTTAGTAAAAACGTAAGGAGCTGAGGACGACTGGTGAAAAGGAGCTTTTTATAGCTGCTTAGTGTAGTCCAAACTCCTTTATCGCTTTCAAAGCTATCAATACTTAGAGAATTTTGTGATACGCCTGACCGCTTAATACTATTTGCTAATAGGTTCCATATAAATGTTATGTAATCATTTTTAGTGTGATTCGTTGTGATTTCCTCTTTGTTGGTGCACATTCTTATATAAGGGCATTTTTGTCTTTCATAGATGTTTGATATTGACCAGTTTAGTCCAAAGCCGTTAAACATTTCAAACCAATACATTGTGGAAGAATTTGTTTTGGGGGGCAACAAAGAAGCTATAATCTATGGGTTTATTATTAGGTTGGTGCAAAAATAATGACGTAATAATGTCGTTTTTGACGTATTGTTTAACGTCAAAAAACGACATTATTACGTCATTATTTTTGCACCAACCTAATATTATTATTATTAATAATAGTAGTAGTAGTATTCATGCATTTACATGCTCACAACAGATCTAATATTTGTTGCTGGGCATATTTACTTGACCTCCCCACTAAGGTAGGATGTAACACGAGGTCTTTTTATGTGGGGTAACCGTAACCGTACACGTGGGTCAAGGACAAAAATTGTCCAGTCTCCGCGACCACTGTCACACTGGCCTCGATATTACACCGGTCTCACCTCTCTTAGTGCAACGAAGAAGGTACTGCCGCAGGTTTGGAATTCCCGGGACCAAACGTTTTCTCCTATCTAAAATGAGGAGAACAGATACTTAGCTTTGATGCTCACTCGAAAGTAGGGTTAGTATTATAGTTAGCTAAACTTCGATGAGCCTTAAACTTTTCTTATCGATTAAAAATAATATCAAGAGCAGTCACGGGAGTCTTCTCTACGACGCTCAGATGCTGAATACGTTGTGTCATAAAATGTATTTGACACTGCCTAGTTCAAACACCTTAATTAGTATAAATACTTACAGAATTTCGCGATACGCCTGATCACTTAATGTAGTTTGTTAGAGTTCTGTTAAACGTCTGTTAAGAGAAGGAGATTAGTCTTAATCGAGTTTAAGCCACTACATAAATATACCGTATGTACTGGCGTACAAGGCGACTAGGCGTATAAGACAACCCTCAAATTTTCAAGTTAAAATGTAGGTTTCGGGCTATATTCGCTGTACAAAGGACACCCCAACCCGATTTTAAAATAAAAAAGTATATACTTTTCTTTCACTTAAATTCTAATGAAAAGATGATGGGGAGATATTATAAATTAACTACCAAAATCTACGATACCTCATGAGTGGGTGCTGTGTTTTCGGTAGGTTATTATGATAGACTGAATGACTTTTCCCCGTTAACCATCCATTCGTTCCACTATTCTCGAATGCGATCTTTAAATGGCTTGTTGAGACACATCCAGTTCAACATCATCGAAAAAGGAGGCGAGATATTATCAGTTAACTACCACAATCTACACTTACCGTTACCCATACCATAATCCATCCGCTACACTTACCGTTACCCATACCATAATCCATCCGCTACACTTACCGTTACCGCTACCATAATCCATCCGCTACACTTATCGTTACCGCTACCATAATCCATCCGCTACATTTACCGTTACCGCTACCATAATCCATCCGCTACATTTACCGTTACCACTACCATAATCCATCCGCTACACTTACCGTTACCACTACCATAATCCATCCGCTACACTTACCGTTACCACTACCATAATCCATCCGCTACACTTACCGTTACCACTACCATAATCCATCCGCTACACTTACCGTTACCACTACCATAATCCATCCGCTACACTTACCGTTATCTCTACCATAATCCATCCGGTACACTTACCGTTATCTCTACCATAATCCATCCGGTACACTTACCGTTATCTCTACCATAATCCATACGGTACACTTACCGTTATCTCTACCATAATCCATACGGTACACTTACCGTTATCTCTACCATAATCCATACGGTACACTTACCGTTATCTCTACCATAATTCATACGGTACACTTACCGTTATCCCTACCATAATCCATCCGGTACACTTACCGTTATCTCTACCATAATCCATACGGTACACTGTCATGGAACAAGAAAATTACACTCAGCTTTTCCCCCCAAAACTACTACTTTGTGAAACAGATTCCTACATGAATGCTTCTCTGAACACTGCAATCTTAACCTCTTCAGGTCAAGTCTCAATAGTTATCTATCCTGCTTATCCCCTTAATCTTCCTATCGCCTCCTCTTTCACTCATATCATACACACAATTCCTTATTACTATGTTAATAGTAACCTTCTACATTGGATGTCTCTCCAGATTTGCACTGTGGGAATTATAATCCTATAAAAGAAAAATTGCAATATTAAGTCAAGAAATGGCTACTTAGAAATAATACCTTTTATTTTTTTGTAAATGAAATTGTGAAATTATTTATTTAGATTATCGATTAAAATAATATTCTAGCAATTCCAAATTCAATCAATGATTCGGTTAACACGATGCAATCTTTTTTCAGTTAATTGTATTTATTTTTCTACTGACATTCATGAAAACTACATGTTTGTTTATATGAAAAGATAAACTGTAATTAGATATTTAACGCATTTCATTTCATTCATCTAAGTTTCACGCAGTTTACATAAGGCAGTTAATGTTATCAAAATATAAATTGGTTGGACAGCTTTACGACCTTAACAACTATCGTAGCGTTCTGTCCTCATCAAATATTAGAAATTCTACCTGACTCGAGTTTACAGTAAGAAGCAGTCGATGCGAAAGACATTGTTTCCATGAGGTGCGAATTTCAAAGGTGTACCCCGGGGGACAAACGTTTAAAAGCGAAAAAAAAAAAAATAATGAAATCGGCGAACCGTGTTCAAATTTCAGCTGAAGTAGTTTGTGTTCACTTTGCCCTAATGCCATTAGGAAAGGCATGAACACATCTCTTCTCTCACAGCTATGGGCAAACTAGGCGCTTTCGCTTTGACTAGCAAGCTGTATAGAACATAATCCTTCACATAAGAGGCGTAAAATAAACTGTCCAGTTTCATTTCAGCCATGTCACGTGGTAAACCGAGTGGCCCACAGACAAACGTCGATCCGAATGAATTATTATCACGAGAAGATATTTTGGTGCTTATTGGAGCTCAGCAATCCTCTTAGGGGAGCCTATGACTGAGCTGAGTTGGTTAGCACGACGACGGCTCATTCGAAACTGTGGAAAAATAAGTGAAATTATGAAATTACCTGCGTGTGTATTGGTTGCGGTCAGACGTGAGGGCGGAGTGTTTGCCATGCTGGTTTTCCAAAGTGAGGCCGTTCCGAGCTCTTGTTTTTATAATCGTTTTACCTGAAGGGTTGGGATGCGCAGGTTTGTCACCTTCTTACTTAAGGCCTGCCTTCCAGTCCTTTCTCTACTTTTCCTTTGTGATATGAACTTATGAGAACAGAGTTGTTCTGCGAGCCCTTTTCTTCTCACGTAGTTAACTGATCCCTGTTTGGATTTGGGTCACGAGATAGGCAGTGTTTCGCAACACTTACTGTACTGGACTGGCTTCTAGGAATTTTCGACAAAACAGGCTACATTGCAAACAGTGCCGTTTGGGCTAAATGGAATAGATGGTTATCGCTGGTATTGCAAATAATGTAAACAACGTCGAAATGTCAGAGATGATTCATTCTTTGCTAACAGCAGGCTGCCATTTCGGATGCGCGTCAAGCGTAAACGGCATCGACAGTTTGGAACTTCTGAGGCGTTGTTCAAGTCGCATCTTCACGAATTCGTGTGGCATCAGCGGTACAAGAAAAGTCCTGTGTTTTCAACATTTATTTGGTGCGTGGTCCACCATTACCAGTTGTAATAATGCTTAATTGTAATAAACATATATCTTGATCTTGTTGATTTTACGCCGTTCAATTTATTTTACGGCGCTTAAGTAAAGGTGTAGTGAGTACCGATGAAAATAAAATAAAATAAATTATAAAAATACTATATATATATAAACAAAAAAAAATAAAGAATTCAAATTAAAATAAGGCATTTGCGCTTTCCTTTAAAACCATTATCTCTCTCTCTCTCTATCTCTTTCTCTCTCTCTCTCTTCTATTTAAATGTCTCCCTGTATACTTCTCTCTCAACTAACTAGATGGAAAACTTCAAATAAAAAAGAGGAAGAAAAAACTTGAACCCAGCCGCAAAACGGCGGAAGTTTTTCGGGAAACAAATTTGTGAATGAAAACTACCAAAAATCAGGGAGGCTCCACGCATAACATCCGTTATATAAAAAAAAAATGAAAAAGAAAGGAAAGCTGAAAAATAAATTTATTTCGGCCAATCAAAAAATTAACACAAAGAGAATGTTGATGTTAGTCGAAATCAAGGTTCACTCCAGTAGTCAGGAAAGCTGATCAAAAGGATTTAAGCTCACGGCTCTGAGCTAGACGAGGAGAAAGGATGGCACGAGAAATCATGGAACAAGAGACACGACTGCCGGAGAAACCAGACATGCGTGACGCGTGAAGAAGTTTAAGAGGTTATCTGCTAATGACATTTCTTGCTCTTCTTAGGGCTGAGAAAAACACAGTAGATTGACGCTGACCTATTTCTAAAAGGACTACTACAACCAAGTTCTGTTGAAATCCGAGCCGAAACGGACTTTCTCCCGACTGCTACCAAGATCGGACTTTTAACGAATATCAAAGGACTCACTACACTCTAAATCGAATAAATAAAAATATATTATTTATTTCATACCATTGAATCAGTTTTCCGAAGTTCCGATAAAATAATTACCAAGAACTCTCTGGTACAACACCACAAAGGATTACCCAGTTTCGAATTGAAAACTAGAGAGAAAGCAATGAGAAACCACTACACTATGAATCCGAAGCAATGCACAGTTTACAGATATTAAAGAAAGGGAATCCGTGGAGAGCCATAATCGCCTACATCTTGAAGGGACATGGTACTTAAGAGAGAAAAGAGAGAGAGAAAGAGAGAGAAAGAGAAAGAGAAGGAAAGAAAGAGGAGAGATTTCAAAATTCTGGTTTCAAAGCAAATAAGGCTTCATCGCAATGTCCGGGTAGCGCGCTGTAGTTTAAACACTAGCTAGTTTAAACTAGCTAGCTAGTGATGTCATGGTTTCCAATTGTAATTCTAGTTGTAAAACAAGGTTTTTCAAAAAAATCCATGTTCTTTCGAGACGTACGAGATCATGACTCTCCACAGATTCCTTTTGTCTATTATCTATGAATTGTCATGGCATTATTGAGAAAGATAAAGTTGTTTCTCGTTGCCTTCCCTTGGAATGTCTATTATTATTTATGTAATAAATTCTTAATAATAAAAGACAATTTTTTTTAACTTTCACAGGTATTTTTTTACAAACAGCATCTACATTGTGTGTGTGGTGTTGTTTTTATTGTTGAGGGTCTTGTACATTCTCCTATCGCATTAGTAAGGACTGACTTATCGTTCTTGCTAACATGGGTATCTATTTATTTTGGTATGTATTTGGTTACGATTTGTATTTGTTTAACAATAAAACAATGACATTTATGCGAAAGTAAATGCAGCAGCTTCCCCGACGCCATTTTCTGTGCATATAATTGCTACACTACGCCCACATCCATAATGAGACAAACTTGACGCAATGAACATTCGTACAAATGAAAGAATATCAATTTTGTTCACTCACTCACAAACCAGTAGGAATTCTTCGGCTACAACTGAACGTTCGATATATGCTGCATTCACGCGCATGTTCTTTTTTTAAGTTGTAGTGAAAAAATCCTATTTTCGTATTTAATGTCAAGCATTCTCAGCAGACAACAGTCGTACAGACACAGCGCAAGAGTGGCAATCCTTTGATCTATTTAATTATGGCAACAGGTTCCAAGAAGCCTTTTGTGTTCGTGTGTCACTGTGAAAGCGCATGTGAAAATTTATCTTAACATATAATTTATGTCCTTGAATATGTTTATATTATGTTTATTTTTCGTGCCTATCTAATTAATTCATTGATTTTTTTTCCGCGCGCGTTTCAGTTCATTCATATGTGAACAAAATTCTACGCGTACAGCTATCAATGATCCTGAACATCTAGACGTGTAACATGTATTTTTTTTTACTGTCTTAGACGGATTTACATTTTCCTTTCATATTAGTTTTCCCATGAGATAAAAAATGAGAGCATATTATTTTGTTACTAATATTAGGTGTTTATATGTGAGTTTTTTTCCCTCACAATTAATACTAGCAATAAAGTGAAAAATTCATGGTTTTTCTATTTGAATTTTATGAGGAATCTTAATTCTTAAATTAATGATTGAATAAGCTCATGGTGAATCCCACGACTATAAAATACTCAGGAAAATCCTACTATTGCTTCGTTAAATATTTGAGCTTAACAACTATAACAAAATACTACAATAGCAACCAGAAATATGAATGCAGGTCATTATTTAAAGAAGTAAGAGGGTACAAATGAAAAGATTAAAACTGCCAAGGTTTTCCATTTCAGTGAAGCAGACATTAAACATATGAGTGTTCGCCACCTCTATCCCCTTTCTTTCTTTCTTTCTTTCTTTAAAACCAAACAGCGCCTTTGATATTTTTTAAAATCAAGTTTTCCCCAAGCAAGGCAGTAAAGCCACCGAGACGCAACGGGTTACTGGACGTGGAGGAGTTAGAAACAGAAAACACTGCCAAGGAGCAAGAACAAAAGGAGAGTAATCAGGAGGACAGTAGATAGCAATTGATATTGCATTTAAATTTTTGCAGATTAAAGTTGGGTGGAAAGCATGAAGCCTGAAGGGAGTTC